CTGGGTGTTCTTAGCACCCAGTTTGATGATGTTTTTCTGTCTATCTGTTGCTTTTCTCAATTGGGTGTTTATTCTTTTACTTTTCTTGCTCTGTGTCTCTCTCTGTCTCTGTCTGTCTGTCTGTCTCTATCTATCTATATATATATATATCAATTATATATAACAAAAATGTAACAATTACATGTAACACATAGTATATATATATAGTCACTCATTCAAAACAGGAAGCATGCATGGCTCTGGTAGCTCATTATTTGGACTGTACAGAACAGCCGCAGGTGTGGGCTTTGGTTTTCTGCATGGACTATGCAAGCAGAAGGGATCAAGAGTAGCCCTGGATTAGCAATCCTGCTTTGATAAAACAGGAAGAGGGAACACACATTCTCAGGCCTCGGGTTGCACGGTGGTCCTGTCTGAAGGCAGAGTGGGGACGCAGGGGAGGTGATAAGGCACATGCTCAGCCTGACAGTCTCCGACCACTTCACCTGTGGTTCAGGGATTTTGAGGAGCGTGTACTCATGTGCATGGACGAGGCAGCAGCATGTAGACCTCACAGAGCAGCTCAGATCTTCAAACTCTTCCTAGTTCTGGGTCCAGGTCCCAGTGGACCTCTGCAGCATTTCCCATCATCCTCTTGGAAAGCACTGCCCCAGCAGTTTTGTGGAAAAGCTATTTCTCCATTTCACGCGCTGTTGGTGTGACCGTGATCACATGTCTGAGTCATTTTGCAAACCAGGTGTTATGAACAGCAGAACAAGTTCATAGAAAAGGAAACTGAGGTGAATTGCCTTTCAGGAACTTTGTTTTGTTAAGGGAGTTTTAGGCTCATGGCTATAGGCAGCTGAAAGGAGGCTGTGACGTCAGAGAGCATTAGGAGAAACAGACACCATGTACAGATGCAGGAGGTCCTGAAGTGAAAGAGTCTCCGCATCCCTTTAGTTCCGGGATTTCAGGAGAGTTGCTGCATTGTATGATAAATGGTGCTACTGGGTCCTAAAGGGTTTTGGAAAGCCCTTCGGCACTAGGGAACAAAGAGGGTGCTTGCTTTTACCAAATTTGTTTTGCTGTAGAGTTATGTTCTATACCACAGGACTAGCCTCCACGCTAGGAGTCAGGAAGGCACGGTTAAGGACTAGATGTGACTCCAGATCGACTTGTGTTTGGGCAGTTGGGAGGGAGGCAGGTCTCCTCCAAAAAGGAGAGAGAGGGAATTCGATGGTGTGTAGAGCAAGGTCACAGCAGTCCCTAGCTGCCTTGCCAGGGACTGCAAGGGTTGTGTGGCCTGAGTTAGGGAGCTGAGCTAGAGGACCATGAGCTGACAGGAGGGGCGGGACCTAAGCCCCTGTCCAAAGCCTCTGATGCTCTCTGTCCCAGCCGGAAGGCTCACCAGGGCACACGTCTACGGCATGAGAATTTCTGTGCTGGAGTCCCAAGTTTCTCATTCTCTTCACAAGCAGCCACTCCCACAGGCTTGGGGCCCCTTATATCCTGGCACCCGCTGCTAATGTGGCCCATCCTCTGTGCTCTGCCGGCCGTTCTCCGTCAGGCAGTGTGCCCCGTCCCACGGCTGCCCCACTTCTCACTCACTGCAATACAGATGCCAGAGCCAAGAGTACATGCTGCCCACGTGCAGCCATTGGCAGAGGGTGAGAGCTGGCAGTCCACGGGCGAGGTGACATTGGCCCTGGTCTGCAGGAAAACCCTAGGGATCCACTCTTAGTTAGCTACCCTGGTCCCTGTGGCGTGAAAGCATCCAGGGTTGTCAGAGCATGGAGGAGGGGCCACCTGAGCAGCAGATGGAGAGAGATAAGAGGGCAGCAAGCCCGGAGAGAATGAGAAACTGGAAGTGAGAAACTCGGACTCCAAGCACAGACATTCTCACGCCGCAGGCAGGGCTGAAACTCTCGGTGTGACTTTATGGAGAGAGACGCTGAAAGCTGGGCTCGTGAAGAACAAGTTCGAAATCAGTCAGAGACTGATTCTGTGACGTTCAAGAAGCCCAGCAGCTTCTCAGTGTGGGTAGTCCTCCCAGGGGAGTCAGAGGCTGGGGATGCAGCTGGCGGCAGAGCGTGTGCCCTGTGCGCACCTGGCCTGGGGTTTGATACCCAGCCCTGCGACATGAGAAGGGAGACGTGAGAGTCAGGATGACGTGAGAGTCAGGATGCTGGTTTTCGAAGCACAGGGTCCCCACAGCACAGCACCAATCCCTAGGTGATATGGTTCTGCCGAGCCCTCCATGGCAGTGGGTCTATGCAGCCTTCAGGGGGCACTCAACAATGTATCCTCGACCTCATTACAGCCCATGAAGGCTGAAGGACAGGATCCCAGCAGAAGAACAATGAGTATTTTCAGTTTTATTTTATTATGATTATGACTATGATTTTTTCTTTTTTTTTGAGACACGGTTTCTCTGTGTAGTTTTGGAGCCTGTCCTGGATCTCACTCTCTAGACCAGGCTGGCCTCGAACTCACAGAGATCCACCTGCCTCCGCCTCAGAAGTGCTGGGATTAAAGGCGTAATCCACCACTGCCCAGCTATTTTTCTTTTTTATGTTATATTTTGAGATAGTCTCACTGTGTTGCCCAGGCTGACTTTGAACTACTGGGCTCAGGTGATCCTCCTGCCTCAGGCTCACAGTTGCTGGGACCACAGGCGGGTGCCGCTGTGTTCGACTCACTTATTTTTGTATTAGGTCCTGGTTTCTAGCCATGAAGGGGTCGAGTAGATAGGAGGATAAGGGTGATGAGTTAGTTGACTGTTGGAAGAGCAGGGCCAGGACCTGGTTTGTGCTCTGGATCCTCAGCTACCCAGTACCCAGCAGCATCCTCTGCTCTCCGTCCTGCCCCTGCAGGCTGGCCACCTCTGCCTGCTCTGCATTTTACCTGTTGTGTCTTCCTCAGCAATGCATTCTGCATTCCTCTGCCTTCATCAAACTTAGATGTGAAGTTTAAAAACCTAGGCCGAAGGCTGTGGGCAGCTGACAGAGGGATCCATGCCTGCGAGGCCAGCACAGGGTTTAAGGGCCTCCACTCATTTATAGGACGATGGAATCTGTCACCTAAGCATGGTCCACTTTCTTTTCTAAATATCTAATGAGAAACAAAATAATTCATAACTAAAAATAAAAACGATTTCAAAGTTATTTCAGCCTTGGAACAAAGCATTTTCCACTGAGAAAATACTAAAATTGCCCCCGGGGACACCATGTGTGCCCATTAATTTTAACCACAATCTTCACACAGCCTAGGATTATCTGGGAAGAGTGTTAGTAACTTGTTGTCTAGATGACGTTGGAGTGTGTGTGTGTGTGTGTGTGTGTGTGTGTGTGTGTGTGTAGGGAGGGAGGGAGGAGGGCTTGTCTTGTTAGTTGGGTGTGAAGACCCATCCGGAATGTGGGTGGCGGCATCTCATGGATGGGGCCCTGAACTGTATCAAAAAGGAAGAGAGCTGGCTGGACATCGGAGCAGTAAGTGGACAGGGATCCACGCGTTCATCCTTTCTCTGCTCTGGACGCTGGCTCTTATTGTCCTTCATTGACTTCCGCACGATAATGGGCTGTGACCTAGAACTGCAAACTGTAATAGACCTGTTCTTCCCAAAGTTGCTTTTGGTCAGGATGAGTCTTTTATCACAGCAACAGAAATTAAACCAGGACTCCATGAAAGCAGGTGCACATTCTGCCCTGCCCCTCCCCCCACCACACACACTTTCTTTCTTAATGGTCCTTAAAACAAAGCAAACAAAAAGACGCAGAATTCTTAAAGCTTGTGACTAAGTTTATGTTTTAATATGTGAAACAATCAGAGTAAGCTAAGGAGTTATGTTCCAGTGCTGGGCTGGGGAGACGCTTCAGCAGTGAAATACTCGCCTTGTGGGCACAAAGACCAGTTAAATGTCCAGAAACTATGTAAAAACAAACAAACAAACAAACAAACAAAAACCCGTGGTGGTGCGTGCTTTTCATCCTAGCGCTGGGGGACAGAGGTAAGTGGATCTGTGGCTCCCATGACCTGCCAGTCAAGCCTACTTACTGAGCTCAGAGAGACTGTCTTAAACAAGAAAAGAGAATGCCTGAGGAGCACACCAGAAGTAGTTCTCTGCCCTCCACACTCAAGTACACACACACACACACACACACACACACACACACACACACACACCAGTATTTTGACATTCACATCAGCAACTTCCATAAGGAGGTTTGTGTTTCCGCGTTCCCAGTTCATATTTGCCATCTGCCTATGCTGCACTCTATGGACTAGAGTCTCATGAACTTCTAATGAGGCAGACGAGACTTACCAAAACCTGATTCTACCGCTAACCGTGACTTTAGGTAAAGCTTCCTTAAGATCAGTCTCAGAGCCAGTCATAGGTCTGTAATCTTAGCTATTTGTAGAGCTGAGGCAGGAGGCTTTCAAAGTTCAAGACTGGCATGGACATCTTAGACCCGTCTCTAAACAAAAGGTATGGAAAAGTCTTGGAATACAGCACACTGGCGACACACTCGGACACACTTGCAGAGCCTTATGGGAGACCTTAGGTTCAATTCCCAATTTAGACACAGCCAATCCACTTGGTCTCAGAATCCAGCACGCTTTCCCCTGTTCAGGGGCTAACTTGAAGTTCTTGGTGGCCAGAATCCTCAGCTCCATTTCAGAACTGGAAGAAAAGCACTTTCAACTACAGACAAGCCAAGTTTACCATCCATGGGATGAATGTTAAAAACTATGCTAGTGACTGCTGAACTGCAGGTAGCATAGCCTGGAACAGGATCCCAGCTTGCCTCCTCAGGCTCCACCCACCTCGGAGGGGAAGGGAGCCACAGGAAACCACTTCCCATGTTGGTAGCATGCCAGGCAGCCCATGTCCTACTTGCTTCCTGCCCCCCAGGTTGCGGTTCCAGTTTGTGGATACTTGCCCTTGGTCGTCCCCCCCCCTCCCCACCCCCACCCCCAGCCACCTAGCGCTTGCTGAGATGATAAAAAGGAAGCAGATACAGGATCTTTGCCACTTGCCATCAGGGATGGTAAACATCTTGTTAGCGTCCTGTGAGTCACAGGAGGGCTTCTGTAGCTTTCTCAAGCTGTGTCCTTGTTTTGTGCCCTAACTGGGTCTGCGACCCCATCACGCAGTTTGTGAATATGTTCATATTCATAAGCACGACACTCTAATCCAGCATTCCCCACAGCTTGCTTCGTGGAACACCAACCCCAGGAGACAAGAGCCACCAACGTTTCTTGTCAACCACACCAGGGGAGAGCTTGGCTATTAGTGCCACCAGCCAACTGGTTCTGATCCTGCAGGAAGGCTTCGTTTAATTTCCATAGTTATTTGGGCATGGCTTTCTCTCTCTCTCTTTCTTTCACATGTAATATAGCAAGTTTCACAAAGGTTTCTGGGGGTATGTGGCTCAGGTTACATGGTAAAGGATGATGCATTGTCATTTTCGACAATCTCACTGGTCTGCCGGGACACGTAGCTTTCTGAGTACATCCGGGCACAGAGGAAACCCGGCACCTTGTTCTTTCGTTTAGCACACCACACGTCCTTCATGATCTTCGTGAAGTAGTTTCTGAACTTCTGTCCAATAAATGCGTACAGCACAGGGTTGAGGCAACAGTGAAGGAAAGCCAGGACCTCGGCCACGTTCCTGGTGTAGGCGAGGCGTATCTCACCGTGGCAGGTCCGGTTCATCTTGCCCATGTTTACTGAAGTCACGAGGAGGACGACGTTGTGAGGGATCTGGCAAACCAGGAACACGAGAACCACAGCGATCACGACGCGGATGGCTCTGTGCCTTTTAGAATTTTGGGCCTGCACCAAGGTCTTGATAATGAACAGGTAGCAGAACACCATGAACAGCAAAGGGATGAAGAAGCCGAAAAGCAGCTCGAGCCCCAGCCCCAGCAGTTTCCAGGTGATGGGCTCCAAGACAAACTTGTACTGGGGCTCGCAGACCTGTCTGCCCAGCAACTCGTATTTCTCGTTGAAGATAAATGTGGGACTTGAGATGAAGACCGATGTGACCCACACCACCAAACAGATGATCTTACTGTGTGCCAATGTTCTGGATCGTATCCGGAAAGATTTGGTTGCCTGAACGATGGCAATGTACCGGTCCATGCTGATACAGGCCAGGAGCAGCATCCCGCAGTTAAAGTTGACCGCGTAGATGCCTTTCATGAGTTTACACAGTGAGTTGTTGAAAACCCAAGTGCCAGTGGCGTGAGTGACTGCCCAGAATGGCAGAGTGAGGACAAAAAGGATGTCTGTAATGGCCATGTTCAGCAGGTAGACATCAGTCATGGACCTGGTCTTCTTGTAGAAGGCAAAGGTCATCACCACCATAATATTGCCCAGGAGGCCAAAGACACATATTAAGGAGTAGGCAATTGGCATAAATACCCTGGTGAACTCTCTGACCTCTTCCAAGGAGCATTGCAATTCGTCCATAGGCACAGAATAGAAAGTGGGGTCAGAGTAATCATCAGTCGAGGCGTAGGGCTCTGTGGAATTCATTGTCTCCTGGAAAACAATGAACACAGAATTAGTGACGGCACATTTTCAAGCGACCACATTTAGCCAAAATAAAGCAAACCCTCACTTCATGGGTGACGGTCGTTGGTGTCGGGGGGAGGTCCATACCTGGTGTAGAAGGTGAAGTGGGAAGTTCAGCCACACAAACTCACCAGCACAGACGTGAGGAGAGCAGAGGGGAAGCCATGGAGGAGAGAAGGCAGAATGTGCTCAGTCACTCCCTGTTCTGGAACATTCTATCCCACCAGAACATACTGCACTGAATGTTATTTGATGTGAAAACACCCACTTAACAGGATTTCTTGATGCTTTCTGAAGAGCCGGAGAGCAAACACTATGGGCTCTGCAGGCCCCGTGGCTCTGCCTCAGCACCTCGAGCCAGAGTTGGTGGCTTGGAAACAGCCGTAAAGAACATAGAAATGAATGGGCCTAAACAGGCTTGGTTAGCCATAGACTGTGCCTTTCCAATTTCTGAGCTTTTTGACTTAAGAAAAGTCATATCAGAAAAAAAAAATCCACAGCTTTTGAACTGTTCAAGAGTCTTCACCCAACCAGTTAACTATATACAAGAAAATCATATATATATATGTATGAACTCATGATTTGAGGACTGGAGAGGTTGCCCAGTGGTTACGAGCACTCGCTGCCTTTCTGGAGGACCTGGGCTTGATCCCAGCACTACCCATATCAGGTGCTCATAGTCAGTGTGATTCCAGTTCCAGGGGATGTGATGCCCTCTCCTGGCCCAATGCATGTGGCAGAAGCTTCCTGTGATCAATATCATGAGTAGACACAGTCCACATGGATAAAGCCATTATGATTCTACCTAACAAGAAGACTTAAAAACTGAAAGCTGGAAGGCCAGTGCGGTGGTGCATTCCTGTAACCTCAGCACTCAGAAGGCTGAGGCAGGAGGATGGTGAGTTCAAAGCCAGTCTGGGATACACAGTGAAACTATCTTGAAAAAACAAACAAACAAATATCAAAAGATAAATTATGAGAGCAGGCGGGAGGAGGAGAGAGTGGGAGGGAGAGAGGGGGTTAAAAAAACTCACGGGCGGTGGTGGCGCACACCTTTAATCCCAGCACTCGGGAGGCAGAGCCAGGCAGATCTCTGTGAGTTCGAGGCCAACCTGGTCTACAAAGCGAGTTCCAGGAAAGGTGCAAAGCTACACAGAGAAACCCTGTCTCAAAAAATAAAAATAAAAATAAAATTAAACAAACAAAACAAAAACTCACAAAGCATTTATGAACAAGATTTATATGCTGAAAATCCTAATAGCTGAGAGAAAATAAATAGTGTGTAGATTTAGGAGAGGGATGTCAAGAGCAAGGCTGAGTGGTTCTTTATTCAGATACACGCTCCACAAATTGATAGGTATCTACAACATAAACTAAGTCAAAATTCTGGAAGGTTTTCTAAATAGAGAAAGTGGCTAAGTGATTCTGATTCTACAATGAATTCAAGAGAGAATGAAGTTGGAGGATTCATGAGACCCTGTGAGACTTAGGCCACTTCAGTGTCAGGGCAGGTGACATTGATGAAGGAGAAGGAACAGGAATCCGTGGACGGACACAAAGCCCAGAAACGAACCATACCTACATTAAGTAGTCAGCCGATTTTTAAACAAGGTACCGAGGTGACTCTGCAGTGCAAAGATGCCTTGAATTAATGGCGCTGGCACTGGGCCTTATGTGAGAGAGCTGGACATCCTTTCTCCCCTCCCACAGGAAAAGTGAGCTCACATTGGTTGTAGCTCTAGATGCAAGAGCAGAGACAGAGAACATCTAGAGGAAAACACAAGAAATCTTTGTGACCCAAGGAATGGAAGAATTTTCTTACGCAAATTGTGAAAGACGTGTATTGTAAAGTAATAGTAATAAATCATGCTTAATAAGAATTAAAAACATCAGCCGGGCGGTGGTGGTGGTGGTGCATGCCTTTAATCCCAGCACTCGGGAGGCAGAGGCAGGAGGATCTCTGTAAGTTAGAGGCCAGCCTGGACTACTGAGGGAGTTCCAGGAAAGGCACAAAGCTACACAGAGAAACGCTGTCTTGAAAAACCAAAATAAATAAAAATAAAAATATTTGAAATAAAAAAGAATTAAAAACTTCTGCTCTTTGCAAAACACTTCAGAAAATGAAAAAAAAAATATTTGAATCAGAAAATAGCATTTATAAAACCGTATCTATTCACATCCAGAACATACAAGGAATCTCAGCTACTCAGTACCTGGAAGACAACAAAGTATGTGATGGTGAATCTGTACAAAGATGTTGTAGGGAAGCCAAGCCACAGCCTCCCTGAGATGCCACTTAATTCCCACAAGGACGGCCATGGAAGGTGAGGGTGTCAGCAATGACACGGAGCAGCTGCAGATGTCCTGGTTGGGCGCTGGGAATGTAAAGTCAAGCACGTGGACAAAAGTGTGTTCACCTCGTGTGACACTGGCTGTGCACTGGATTTTGCACTGGATTACACTGGCTGTGCACTGGATTACACTGGCTGTGCACTGGCTGTGCACTGGCTGTGCACTGGATGTACACTGGATGTACACTGGCTACGCACTGGATGTACATTGGCTACGCACTGGATGTACATTGGCTATGCACTGGATGTACATTGGCTATGCACTGGATGTACATTGGCTATGCACTGGATTGCACTGGCTATGTACTGGCTGCATGAACCACTAACTGGCTCCTAGCATTCACCCAGGTGGGAGGCAAAAACACTAACTGGAGTTTTTAGAGAAAGTCCTTCTCATAGCTCCAAACCGGGAAGAGCCTGAATGCCCAGGGGCACAGAGTGAATCATGGTGGGCCCACACTCGGTGGAGTGCTACTTGATGTGTGGCCCTGTGTCCATCAAAACCCCTGAACTGTCTTCTTCGATAACTGTGTGTAATTATGGCCCAGTGAAGCTGATTTTAAAATCACTGAATGTTCTTTTATGTAAACAGCCTTGCACCAAAAGTGATAGAGGTCAGGGACCAGTTACAGAAAGCGCACGGGCCGTAGGACTGAGGTGACCCTGAAGGGTGGCATCCGTACCGACTTGGGGAGAGTGGGGGCTACAGGTGGTGGGACCCTCAGAAGGAGGCGTGAAGGCCCAGGGTACTGCAGAGGCTGCCGAGGGGCGGTCTATGGGAAGAACGGCACACCCACCGGGGAGACTAAAGCAGGGCGTGGTCAGCATGGTCCCTTGGCTAGAGGGGCTCGGGCAGAGACAGGACATGGTAATGTCTCCCCATGCCCATTGTGTTGGTGGGGAAAAAATGCTGTAATTAAAGATTATGAGGGTCGGGGCTGGAGAGATGACTCAGAGGTTAAGAGCACTGACTGCTCTTCCAAAGGTCCTGAGTTCAATTCCCAGCAACCACATGGTGGCTCCCAACCATCTGTAGTGAGATCTGGTGCCCTCTTCTGGCCTGAAGGGATATGTGTGGACAGAATGCTGTATACATAATAAATAAATAAATAAATAAATAAATAAATAAATAAATAAATAAATAAATAAATAAAATAAAATAAAGATTATGAGGGTCAGCCAACCGTACTGTACATCAGTGTCCAGCTAGACTACCCGCATAAGCAAAATATTTACCTGCACTATGATAAGTCACATGTTCTGCATTTAAGTAAATTCAGTTCAGTGGAAGTTTTAAAAGTCTTGAGGATGGGCACTGACTCACGGCATAGAACTAACATGAGCCTGAGAGTCAAGAAGGTACCAGGCAAACACAATAGCCCCAAACAATGTCATTCAGACGAATCATACAGAAAACCAGGCCAGCTCCTACTGAAGGGACGGCCGGTGTCAGTCATGGTGGTTCCTCATGGGCAGGAGGATCTGGAATGTGGCCTGCATAGTTCCCAGACCAGGCTGGAGGGCACCACTAGCAGAGGCAGACACTTGTTCAAGTGTATATTATATTCAAGAGACAGTGTCTTCATTTACATTCCTTGATTAGCATGGTGAAACAACTCCCAAGGACCTGTCTCGGGAGAATGCCGTGAGCGTGTTGGGCTAACCCTGTGAAACTCAGAATCATAATGATCTCAGCAGTGCTGGGGTTGGCAATCAGTGCTCTCAGTAAGACAATAACTGTCACGTTGACTTGAACGCCAGACACTCACGGTACCTTGAAATGAATCAGCCTGTCAAACCACGACTGTCACCACAAGAGTGATGCATATCTTTGCTAGGAAATCACACTGGACACAGATTGGCATCTGGGCCACCACAGCACGTAGGGTCCTGAGCATGATCTGCCTCATCATCTCAATCTGTCAGCAGTTAATCCTCTGGAGATGCAACCTATACATTTTCTGTTAGGAGAATTTGTGTGTGATGATAAGGACCTTGGTAAATTCTTTTCTTTTTTCTTTTTCTTTTGGGGAGGGATTGTTTGATTTTTTAAAAATTACTTATTTATTTTTGTTTTATGTACATTGGTGTTCTGCCTACCTGTATGTCTGTGTGAAGGTGTCAGATCTCCTGAAACTTTAATTACAGACAGTCATGAGCTGCCATGTGGGTGCCGAGAATTGAACCCAGGTCCTCTGGAAGAGCAGCCAGTGCTCTTAACCACTGAGCCATCTCTCCAGCCCTCATCGGTGAATTATGGGGGAGAGGTTGAGATAGGGTTTCTCTGTGTAGCCCTGGCTGTCCTGGAATTCTCTCTGTAGACCAGGCTAGCCTCAAACTCAAAGATCCCACCTGCCTCTGCCTCTCGAGTGCTGGAATTAAAGGCATGCGCCAGTACACCCGGCTCCTGCTGGTGAGTTCATTCCTGATGAAATGTTTCTGTCTGTCTGTCCTTTAAAGACATCTAGACAGTCAATCTACCAAGAGGAAAGCTTCTGGAAGGATAGGGCCTACAGCCTGTTTTTCTGTGAACCTACAAACCACAGTCAAGCTACCCACAGCAAGACACCTTCCTGCCTCATCCTCAGGCTCACACTGTTCTCTTTCACATCTGCCCAC